TAGTAGACTCGCCCACTTTAAGGGCATTTAAATGGTCATTGGATAAACATATGGATGATAATGGAATAGTTTAGGTTAGATGGGCTTCAGATTGGTTTCACACGTCGGCGCAACATCGAGGGCCGAAGGGCCTGTACTGCGCTGTAATGTTCTATGTTCTGTGTTCTATGTTCTAAACAAACCCACAGCCACACTATGACAACACTCACTAGGACCAAAGACCCCATACATGCAGGACCAGTGTAGTTTACAAAATACCTTGCAATGACTGCAACAAACATTATATCGGGCAGACCAGAAGGAAACTAGCCATCAGGATACACAAACACCAGCTAGCAACAAAACGACACGACCAACTTACCCTCATCTCAGTGCACTCGGACAATGAAGGTCATCAATTTAACTGGGACAACATGACCATCTTAGCTCAAGCCAACCACAGACACGCATGGGAATTCCTAGAGGCCTGGTTTTCAATCCATAATGCAATCAACAAACATGTGGAATTAGACCCCAAATACAAACCCATGCAGAACAGAACTGGAAATGACACAACTCAACCTAACAGACCAGATCATATAAATACCAAGCAGACTAGAACAACATCACTTCATCAGAGCCCACACTGATGATGTTACCTAGCATGGTAACAAAATGTTTGTACGATAACCAGCCAGCTTGGCAAGCAAGCCAACAACCTCACTGTTTCTCTGTCTTCATCGATCCTGTCTGAGTTTTAACAGAATTTTCTGTTTTCATTTCATATTTCTGGCATCCTGCTATCAATGTAGGTGGAGGAGTCTGGGATGTTTCCAGATTAATATGCATCAGTGAGTATCACTGCTACTTTACCAGTCTGTGGGTCATCTCTCCTCACTTGAGGACTTGTCCTCAGACCTTGGTATGAGAGACTAGAGATTTCACTGGCCTGAGATCCACTTCATCTTATTCTGACACAATGTCAGGCTTCTTCAGGTTTCTCTGATTTTTCTTTTATTGTTGGACTTTGTAGTACATAGAACATAGAACAGTACAGCACAGTACAGGCCCTTTGGCCCACAATATTGTGCTGACCTATTATCCTACTCTGAGATCAAACTCCCCTGTATACCCTACATTTTACTATCATCCATGTGCCTATCCAAGAGTCGCTTAAATGTCCCTAATGTATCTGATTCCACTACCACCACCAGCAGCGCATTCCACGCACCCACCACTCTCTGTGTAAAGAACCTACCTTTGACATCTCCCCTATATCTTCCTCCAATCACCTTAAAATTATTGTCCCCTCGTAATAGTCATTTCCGACCTGGGAAAAAATCTCTGGCTGTCTACTCTATGCCTCTCATCATCTTGTACATCAAGTCACTTCTCAGCCTTCTTCACTCCAATGAGAAAAACCCTAGCTCCCTCAACCTTTCCTCATAAGACCCGCCCTACAGTCAAGGCAGCATCCTGGTAAATCTCCTCTGCACCCTCTCTAAAGTTTCCACGTCCTTCCTATAATGAGGCGACCAGAACCAAACACAATATTCCAAGTGTGGTCTAACCAGGATTTTATAGAGCGGCAGCATAACCTTGCGGCTCTTAAACTTAATTCTCCTGCCAATGAAAACTAATACACCATTTGCCTTCTTAACAACCCTATCAACTTGGGTAGCAACTTTGAGGGATCTATGGACATGGACCCCAAGATCCCTCCGTTCCTCCACACTGCCAAGAATCCTGCCATTAACCCTGTATTCTGCATTTAAATTCGATCTTCCAAAATGAATCACAGTCAAGTAGTGATTGTTCACTATTGTTTGCTCGGCCACTTCAAAGGGCAGTTCAGGATCAACCATGTTGTGTGGGACTGTAGTCACAAGTAGACCAGACAAAGCAATTGTAGTTGTGTCCCTTCCCTGACAACAACATATGGGTTTTTTTGGACAAATGGAAAGTTTTCATGTTTCTATTTTGAGTGATGTCCACAAATCGCAAGATTCACAATGTGGAGTTGCTGAGATAAAGAGCAGAGATGCCTCTAAGGAAAACTAGACAGCACATGAAGTAGAAGGGAACAGAAGGGTGAGATGAAGAGGGTGAGAGAAGGCTCATGTGAAGTATGAACACTAGTATGGATCAGTTGCATCAAATGGTTTGTTTCTCTCTGTAAGTCTCTGTTTGTAACTTTCCGTGGTTGGATTTTAACTCTCAATCTCTAGATTGGTAATCCAACACCATAGCGTTCAGCTGCCATACCCTGAGACACACTTATTCAAAAGTCTTTTAATGTCTTCCTTAAAGACTTTACCTGAAGCCCTCAGCCTTTCCCAAAAGCCTGGGTTTGGATTTGATCATTTTGACCAGTGATGTGGTTGACAGCTAAATTTGAGATGTGAAGTGTAAGTGAGTGCAGTGTATATAATTTCCCAGGCTACATCAGAACCTTTCAATCAGCTACACTGAACCAATATTGCCTCAGCTTCTAGCACTTCCTGCTCAGTGTGTTTTGGCAAAAAAGGAGAAAAATTTCTAAATCTCCATTGAATTAACATTTACCCAAAATGTGTTTTTTATATTAAACACAAATTCTAAGGATGAAACTGGTCTTCACCATCACAACATGCAAGCATAGCGATTAGGAGCATGTTTTACATTCCTCTGACTGTCTTTTCATTACTCTTATAGTGCTTGGGAAGATGGGGTCATGGGTAGAGAAAAGAAAGTAGCCACATTGTTTGCTCCTGGTCACTATCTAGTCTCCTTGCTGGAAACAGAGGGTGTGTGACAGTCCAGTGAGGAAAAGGAGAGAGCTTGCAATTGATTCCCCCGCACAGGGCAATGGCAGTCAGGGACTAATTGCGGAGTGAGCCCTTTCAGCAGGACTGGCATGGGAGCTGGAGGAAATCATGTTTCCTTTTCCTGTTTTACAGAAGGATTGCACTGTACTACACTAGAGAATAGAGAGAGGACAGACACTGCTGATAAATCTTGACCATCACCCAAGGAACGACTACACAATTTTGGGAAGACATCCAGTCCCTCGACAGCATTGTTGAAGACAGAGGATGTTGGACAATGAAACCATCATCTGGAAATTGGTCAGGTCAGGGGAACTTTCATATATCATAAGATCTAAAACTGGTCAGTGATGTGGAGCCTTCCATCATAGCCAACCTTTTTGAAGGTTTAACAATGGTCAGTCAATCAGGGTGAGACTGGGAAGATGCGAGCATCTCTAAGTGTGGAGAGACCTTCAATCATTCATCGAGCCTCATGAACCACTGACTCATTCCTACAGATAAGAGAGTGTTTAGTTGAGAGGTTTGTGAGGAGGGTCCCATGATGTCATAATATCATGCAACTTTTGAACTGAACCATGGAAGAAGGTCTATTTGAATGCGAGGTGTGTGACCAAGATTTTGGACAGGCCTCGAATCTCCACACACATGAAAGCATTCATACTGGAGAGAAGACATTTTCATGTGAGGTCTGCAACAAATCCTTCTCGCAGTCATCAAACCTCCGTGTACACCAACGCATCCATACGGGGGAGAAACCATTCATGTGCAAGATTTGCAATAAATCGTTTGGATATTCATCAACCCTCCGTGAACACCAACGTATTCATACAGGCGAGAAACCATTCAGGTGTGAAGTTTGTGACAAATCTTTCTCCCGACTATCGAACCTCCGACAACACGAACGTATTCACACTGGGGAGAAACCATTTACATGTGAGATTTGTGACAAATCGTTTTCTTGGTTGTCCAACCTCCATGAACACCGACGCATTCACACAGGGGAGAAACCATTTACATGCCAAGTGTGCAACAAATCATTCCCATACTTAATGAACCTCCGGGTACATCAACGCATTCACACAGGAGAGAAACCATTCACCTGTGAGGTGTGTGACAAAGCTTTCACACAGTTATCACATCTGCTGGTCCATCAAACGATCCACACAGGAGAAAAACCCTTCAAATGTGAGGTCTGTGATAAAGCTTTCACAACTTCGACCAGGCTTCTGATGCACCACAGCATTCACACGGGACAGAAACCCTTCAAGTGTGAGTTCTGTGAGATGTCTTTCACACAATGTTCTGAACTCCTGACACATCAAAGGATTCATACAGGGGAGAAACCCTTCAAGTGTGAGGTGTGCGGCAAATCCTTCTCACAGTCATCAAATCTCCATGCACACCAACGTATTCACACTGGCGAAAAACCATTCATGTGTAAGGTGTGCAACAAATCCTTTTCCCGATCTTCGAACCTTCGCGCCCACCAACATATCCATACAGGGGAGAAACCATTCACATGCGAGGTGTGTAACAAATCATTCTCACACTCAATGAACCTCCGTGTACATCAACGTATTCACACAGGGGAGAAGCCATTCACATGCAAAGTGTGTGACAAAGCATTCACACAATTATCAAATATCCTGAGGCATCAAGCCGTTCACACAGGAGAGAAACCCTTTAAATGTGAGGTTTGTAATAAAGCTTTTACAACATCTACCAGGCTTCTGATGCACCACAGCATCCACACAGGAGAGAAACCATACAAGTGCGAGATTTGTGAGAAGGCTTTCACCCAATCCTCCGACCTCCTGAGGCACCAAAGGATTCACAAAGAGCACAGTCTGTTTAAGTGTGAGGTGTGTAACAAGGGCTTTGGACAGTCATTGAGTCTAGTGTGTCACCAGATAATTCACAAAAGGTAGTAGCTATTAACGTGCAAGTGGATGGTAAAGCTTCCATAACATCTTTAAGCTCCTGGGATATCAGATGATTTATGTGCGGAGAACACATCAGATGAAATGTTGTGACAAGGCTTTTACCCATTCCTCTGAATTCCTGAAGCACCAGAAAATCCACATTGTGAGAAACATTTCAGGTATGAGATGTGTGACAAGTCTTTTACACATCCATCAACGTACACACACACAAACACAGGCCCACGGGAGAAATCTTATCACAGACAGTTGTCACTCCACATGAAAGAGTCAAACTGGATTCTCTGGGATGTAATGATCCATTGAGTTTGTTCCATCATTCAATTAGATCATAAACAATCTGTACCTTAACTCTGCCTGCCTTGACTCTGTAACCCTTAGTCCCCTTGCCTAACAGTATACCCACAATCTCAGTTTTGAAAGTTTCAATTCACACCCCAGCGTAAACTTATTTTTGTGGGGAGAGAGTTCCAGATTTCTTCAGAATGAAGGGTCACTGGACTCAAAACATTAACTTTGCTTTCTCTCCACAGATGCTACCAGACTTGCTGAGTATCTCCAGCAATTTTCTTTTGTTGTTTCAGAGGAACACTTTTTATTGTGGTATTCTGAGAGAGTTTCCCCTGATGTGTGTGTGTGTGTGTGTGTTAGTAAAGTGATCCAGCTCTCGGGAGTGGGTATGGGGTAGAACCAGACCCTGCTTTAGTTGGGGATGTGAATTTTTGACAGATCCTCTTCAGGTGACGGGTGTTTGACTAATACCATGGGGAGTGTTTGTACTATCCTGTCTGGGAGGACTGCGATCCTGAGTATGGTGAGGGAGTGGGGTTTAGTCTCTACAGACCTGAGTTCCCTCAGCCCATCATACCTCCATGTTATAACACTGTTCACATTATACTCTTCCAAGATTCATTTCATATTCTGGGCAAGACCTTGAGTCATTTTTAAATGCTTTGTTATTTTGGCTGAATAGCATTCAATATTGCTGTACCTTCAATCTTCTGTGTAGATTTATAACTCACAATAAATGACATTTGATGTAAGCCAAACTACCTGATGTGTCAGCATGTGTGTTCCTATTCACTGAAACACTCAAGAGCTGACATGATTGTCATGTACACAATATATTGCTCAGTGTCTGAGTGTCTGTCTCTATCGTTGGGTTTACAATTTCTTATTCACAGTATTACATAATGTTTGTCTAAGAAAGAAAGAGTCGCATTAATGTATCAACTTGCACAATCTCGGTATTAAAAAGCACTTTATAACCAATTAAGTATGTTTGCAACAGTGACTACACTTCAAATGTAGGAGATGCAGCAGCCAATGTATGCATAACAAGCTCCCAAAACTGCAAGGTGATAATGAACAGATGATCTGTTCATTACTCCTGCTAAGTGAGGGATTCTTCCAAATAATGCCATTAATCTCATCTGAAAGATGGCTTCTCTGACTGCAGCTCTGTTAGACTCCTTTTGTGTCAGCCTATCCTGTGGTTTTGTATGATTCTATGAAAGGTTCTTCGTCACAATTCCTGGCTGTCTCTGTCATTTCTTGCATTTCTTGATGTTGGTCAGGAACAGGGACAACGTGCACAGGAAAGGAACAAGATTTACCCACAGGAGAGAGCAGTGACACACTGCATCAGCTCATCTGCTGCTGAGACCCTCATCCATGCTTTAGTAGGTTCTAGACTTGAATATTCTAGTGATTCCCTGGTTGCTCTCACATTTTGCTCTGTAAACTGGAGCTCCTTCAAAACACTGCTGTCCAGGTCCTAACTGATACCAAGACCCATTCACTCATCACCCCTGTGCTCGATGATCTACAGTAGTCTGCCAGTCAAACAACACCTCCATTAAAATTTGTTCACAAATCCCCTCATGGTCATCATTTTCCCTTTCTGAAATCTCCTCCAGCCCCACAAGCCTCCAAAATCCTGCACTTTGCTAATTCCAAACACGACATCCTTGATTTTACTGAAGCAACTATTGGTGGTTGTGTCTTTAGCAACCTTTGGCGTAAGCTGTGGAATACCCTCTCTAAACCATTCCATCACTACACCTGCCTTTCCTCCTGAAGATACTACTTAAAATCCATCTTTTCAAGTTTTTAGTCACATGCACAAACATTAACAGATGTGTCTCACTATCAAATATTAATAACATTCTTACAAAATACCTTGGGATACTGAAGTATGTTAACAGTCCTATATCAATGGAAGTTGTACATTCCTATTGTGTAAAATATCAGAAAGTGACCAGGCATTCAGTTGGAGCACTGTGATTCCCTTCATGGTTCACTGTCCCTCACTGTGAAGCAGTCTCCCAGTACAAGGACAGACTTGTTGTAAAGTAACAGGGTTGTAACCTCGAACTGGCATCAGGGCAGGGTAGAATGGCGACACACAAGTTTGAACTCTGCTTCAAGAAGTACTGAAGGATGCTTCTTCAGCCTGCATTTACCCTCCCTGTGAGAGACTGGGGAAACAGCTTGCAGTGTTAGAGGCTGAGAAATGAGCAGGACTTGGTATGAGTTCAGACATGGGCAGCAGGTTTTGGGAAATTTTTAGATGGTGTCAGATTCTGTGAAAGTTGAGGCTGTTGTTTCTCCATATACAGCAGTCTTCTTGGTGAAAGACAGATTTTCCAATTCCAAGCTGCAGCGGAACCTCATCCAGTAGGTGCTGTAATAACTGACAGTGTTGTTCTCCAAGAATTTTAAAGGTAGAATAGGATAATTTGCATGAAAGCACAACCCGCAGGTACCTTCCATTTTCCCTGAAATTCCCCTGCCCTTCTCGATGGATGTGATCATGGGTTTGAAAGGTGCTGTCTAAGGAGTCTTGGTGAGTTTTTGCGGTGCATCTTGTAGATGGTATACACTGCTGCTAATGAGATTAGTGTGGAGAGAGTAAATGTTTGTGGATGTGGTGGGACACAATCGGACTGCTTCATCTTGAATGGTGTCAAACTCGTTGAGTGTTGTTGGAACTTCACTCATCCAGGCAAGTGTGGAGTAATCCATCACACTCTTGACTTGTGCCTTGTGGTCAACAGGGTCTGGGGAGTCATGAGGTGAGTAACTCTGACCTGTTCTTGTAGAACATAGAACAGTACAGCACAGTACAGGCACTTCGGCCCACGATGTTGTGCCGAACTTTTACCCTAAACCTAAAGTCTATCTAACCTCCACCGCTACCTTATACTATCATCCATATGCCTATCTAATAGCTGCTTAATGAGGCCGACTCCACTACCCTCTCCGGCAATGCATTCCACGCCCCTACCACTCTCTTGGTAAAGAACCTACCTCTGACGTCTCCCCGATATCTACCTCCTTTCACTTTAAAACTATGTCCCCTCGTAAAAGCTACCTCCACCCTAGGAAAAAGTCTCTGGCTGTCTACTGTATCTATACCTCTGATCATTTTGTACACCTCTATCAAGTCACCTCTCATCCTTCATCGTTCTAAAGAGAAAAGCCCTAGCTGTCTCAATCTTTCCTCGTAAGACCTTCCCTCCATTCCAGGCAACATCCTGGTAAATCTCCTCTGCACCTTTTCTAACGCTTCCACATCTTTCCTGTAATGAGGTGACCAGAACTGGACACAATACTCCAGATGTGGCCAAACCAGGCTTTTGTATAGCTGGAACATAACTTCACGGCTCTTGAACTCAATCCCTCTATTAATGAAAGCTAAGACATAGTATTTATATGGATAATTAGAGTCATAGAGATGCACAGCACTGAAACAGACCCTTCAGTCCAACACTTCCATGCCAACCAGATAACCTAGGTAAATAGTCCCATTTGCCAGTATTTGGCCCATATCCCTCTAAACCCTTCCTATTCATAAACCCATCCAGATGCCTTTTAAATGTTGTAAGTGTACCAGCTCCCACCATTTTCTCTGGCTGCTCATTCCATACACGCACCACCCTTTACGTGAAAAAGTTGCCCCTTAGTCCCTTTTAAAACTTTCCCCTCTCATCTTAAACCTATGCCCTTTAGTTTTCACTCCCCGACCCCAGGGAAAAGACCTTGTCCACTTACCCTATACGTTTCCCCTCATGATTTTAGAAATCTCTATAAAGTCACCCCTCAGCCTTCAACGCTCCAGGGAAAATAGCCCCAGCCTATTCAGCCTCGACCTATAGCTTAAACCCTCCAACCCTGGCAACATCCTTGTAAATCTTTTCTGAATCTTTTCAAGTTTCACAACATCCTTTCTATAGCAGGGTGAGCAGAACTGCACACAGTATTCCAAAAGTGGCCTAACCAATGACCTGTACAGCACAACATGACCTCCCAAAACTTATACTCAATGCACTGTCTAATAAAGACAAGCATACCAAATGCCTTCTTCACTATCCTATCTACTGACAACTCTACTTTCAAGGAACTATGAACTTACACTCCAAGGTCTCTTTGTTCAGCAACACTCCCCAGAACCTTACCATTAAATATATAATTTGCCTTTCCACCTCGCATTTACCTAAATTAAACTCCATCTACCACTCCTCGGCCCATTGGCCCATCTAATCAAGATCCGATTGTACTCTGAGGTATCCTTCTTTGTTGTCCACTACACTTCCAATTTTGGTGTTCAGTTCAATTTTCTGGTTAATGGTAGCTTCCAGGATGTTGATAGTGTAGGATTCAGTGATAGTAATGCCATTAAATGTCAAGTGACAACGGTTAGCCTCTGCCTTATGGTCATTGCCTGGTATGTGTGTGCCAACCAGCAGAGAGTTTTCTCCCTGATTCCCATTGACTCCAGTTTTGCCTGGGTTCCTTCATGCCACACTCTGTCAAATACAACCTTTGTATCAAGGGCAGTCACTCTCAAAATACCTCTGAAATTGAATTAGGTTGT